GTAGCAGCCGTTGATCGACGCGCACCCGCATTCGAGCGCCATGCCCTAGGTCATCGTAGCCCGCGTTGACGCCGCACACCCAGATACCGTTGTAGACGAGGCATGCGGCGGCACAGGCTCGCGCCGTCGCGAGCTCCGTGTCCGTGCCCAGGCTGACGGGAGCGAGCGGCCCCTGCGTCACGTCCTGGGCCATCGAAATGGTGAGTGGCAGAGACAGAAGCGACAGTACGCGCAGGCGCTTGACCGGACGTGAGGGGAGTGATCTTTGCATCCCCCGAGTCATGATGTGTGCGTGTTGTAAAAGAAACGCTGATGCTGGGAAGTCACAGCGTGTGTCGGAATCTCCAGGGCGCAATCCAGGGCCGAAACTGTGCCGCAAATTGCAAGCTAATAAATAGTTTTCGTCTTCTCAAAAAAAAAAAAAAAAAAAGGCATGCTCTCGAGGGGACGCAGCGTGACTTTTTGTCCTGCTGGCGACCATCGGCCTCTGGGGCTGGCGAGGATCCCAATAGAGTCGTCGCCTGATAACGCCCAGTGCATGCTAACCTGGTCTCGGCCTATTTCCGCATGCTCGCATGTAGCCACAACAATGGTACCATGAAGCGAGCGGCACGGGGCGTCCAATGCCGTTCAGAAACCCGGGAAGTGCCCTCGATCTAAGGATGGCATGGGGACTGTAGCCAATTGAGCGTAGCAGGCTATCATGTTGATGGGGGTTGTTTGGCAGAACGAGGTTGTTGTAGGGCTGAAGAGCATTTCGACAGCCGGGTCGCGTCTGGATGGTGTAACTTACGCAACGCGGCAGACTTTGACGAGCAGCCAATCGAGTGCACGAGGGAGAACAGCTCTAGGACGAAACTCGTCGAACCACTCGGCTGTCCAAGGCACCGTGTTCGAGCGATGCTTTTGAAAGGGGTTATGAGTGTGAGTAGGGGTCTTTCTGGGCACCTGAGTTAGGACCTCATTTGAACAGCATCTCGGCGTCGAACCTTGGTCACCGATATGACGTGTGTCGCTAGCTGATACTTCAGTATGCATTCAGAACCTCCCTTCGTAATATCGGCATGCTCTGCAGAGAAGAAGACCATGGTGGAGCGTCTTCCAAAAGCTCAGATGTGTGTGACCGACACAGCATTATGGTAAAGATCGTGGTATTGATGACGATTTGGTAAGCGAGCGATAGCTCGAATTGACAGATAGCGCGCAATTCGACGTTCCTCTGAACGGTGCATTCTCGACTCATTTAAGCTGAGTGACAAGATCGCAGTTTTGACAATGATGATTTTGACTATCCGGGGTTTCACTAGTGTCTACCGCGCCGCCTGTCATCTACGAGCACGACATGGAGGATTGATCTGCATGCCATCGCGATTCATTTGACTTGGCGGCCCAGTCGCCCGGTAATCGGGTTTGAAATGCATGCCGAAAATTCTCGGTGCCAGGGTTAGTCAAGATGCCATCACGACGACAGGCCTGGAATATGTGCCTGCCAGCCGGCCGGTGGGCCCAGCAGATGCCAATTCACAGAGCGATATACGAGAAAGTAGCAGACCGAACACGCAAGATGCCGTGGCGACCTACCCAGCCCTGGCGATGCCTCTCTCATGAGAAAAGGCGCAAGCAAGGTGTGGGATGTGAGTGGAACAACAGCAGACTTGTGCGTGGCGAATGGTCCATCGGACTGTCAACTTTTGCCAACGAGAAGCCATGATTACATCCGGGCTCGCCAGATGATCACTTCAGTTTTCGTCCCCAACATACGCCGGTGGTCGTGTTGGGTTCTAGAACATCTGGCGCGTTCCTATTTTGGGACCAGGGAAGCTAACTACACCGTCGGGAGTGGTGTAGTGATCCGCAGAGTTGGGACTTTTTGACCTTGATCAAATCACCCTCTTTGACCATGTCCGCATTTGCCCTAGGTCCAGTCCAAGTGGCCTCGGAAAACGGGTATTTCCTTACAAATCCACACCTTGTTCTCGCCCTGCTTGTGTTCGCCTTTCAAACCAGAAACGCTCAACAAGCAGGACGCAGCCAAGACCCGCAAGACAAGGTCTACAGTACGGGCATCCCGCTGGTGGCAACACGCACCAAACCGAAGCAGCTTGGCGCTTGCTTGTCCACAAGCAGCGACAAGCAGCGAACACGCAAAACCCTCAGCTGGCGAACGGGTTCTGCCGTCACAGGGCGCGCGCGAGACGATGGCCAGTTCGGATTTTAGAACCCCTATCCCCATCTCCAGCTGCACTACTGAGCACGTACCCTTTCCTGATTCCAAATGTTGAGAAATCCAGACGAACCAAACGACGCCCCCTTCATTCTTCTTCCTCGAGAACTAGCAACGGCTTTTTCCTTGGCTTCGCCTAGCCAGTCCTGATTTGTCGTCTGCCCGGACCAGTGTCTCGCACATTGCTTTTGCTACCACTGAGCCCCCTAAATCCTGGGGTGGCGTCACCAACCAGAGGTCCTGTCGGCCCCTCCCCCCTCATCGCAACGATAAACACCATGCATTGCCTGCCCCCCCCAATAGCTGCTGAGACAGGGCTGGAATATCGTAACCGGGTAGGGCAGAGTGGTGGCTGACGTCGCATGGGACATCTGGGACCGCCTGAACGAAACCTCCCCTGCTGGATCCATCCGACGGATGGCGATCCGCTGCAGGGTCGTCTGCGTTGGGTCAATGGTTACACGGCGTTACAGGGTAGCCCCTCGTGCGAGACAGGCCCGCTGCCTGCCATGGCCGCCCCGGGGCGATCCAGACTTACAGGGGCCCCCGGGGTCGCGATCGCTGTATTCCTCCAGCCCATCACGTGTGGGCGGCGATCGTCATCCGGCCGGAAGCGCTACCCCTCACTTTGTCTTGTGTGTTACCTTGCCTAGTGCTTTGACGTAGCTGTCTGCCGCTCCCTCCATGGGCACTAGTGTCCTTGCTACTCGTGTTTGGATTTTGTGACCCCCATGGTCCTAGTACGTACGTCTGGTCTTTTTTCTTTGCTGATCAACTTAAATTCTAGTCCATCACTGACGACGTCCAGGACGTTCATCTTCTTCAGTTGTCGAGAGAACGGATCTGGTTGGGAAACAAAGCATTGGGAATCAAGCAAACTCCATTATGGCCCCAGGAATCTCTCTTGAAGAGCCAAAAGACGGCAGCTATAGCCGGTCCGCCTGCTCCGAATGCCAGCGTCGTAAGCAAAAGGTGAGCATGATTATCCGTTCTGTTGCAACGACCCATCCGTACTAACATCACACGATGAGTGCAATCGGGAATGGCCATGCAACCACTGTCAGAAGCGCAAGGTGGCCGACAAGTGCCAGTTCAACCCAGATCCTCCGCCCATCAGTGCCTGGACGCCGTCTACTGAAGTCAAGCGGAAGCGCGAGCAGAGCTACGCCGAGACGGAGAATGACGATGAGTTTGATGACGGCGAAGGCATCGATGCCGTGGGTTACACGGCCTCGCATCTGTTCGCCAACCTGGGCCTTGGTCCTGATGTTGATGTATGCCTTTCGTTTTCTTTTCCCCTGGTCGTCTTGAGCTTGTCAGAACAAATGGTTCTCATCATGGAGCTCATTATGCTGACCACCACAGGGCAAGAAGAGCAAGACTCCGAAGCAATACTACCTAGACCCCAAAACGAGCCCGCAGCTTCAGCGCGCTCTCCAGACCCTCCCCCCGAGACCATATATCGGTAAGTCTCTTAAAACGTGGGCTTGCCTTCGATTTGAGAACATGTCATCGCTGACCCTCCACAGACTCGATGATCCAGAACTTTCTCAGCAACGTCAATTACTACTACTACATCGTGTACCCGCCCAACTTCCTCACAGAGTACCATGAATGGTGGGCCGACCGTGCCGCCAACCGGCCGCTTGGCCTTCCATGGACCTGTCTTCTCATCATGGTCTGCGCCTGTTCGGTCCAGCACACTGACGCAGAGATGGGCGCCGGTCTCGAGGCCGACCTTGGCCGTACCGTCCAGCAACTGACAGATCTCTACCACGACGCCGCGCGTGAGCTTCACAGCGCCATCCCCGTTGGCAACACGCACATGTTTACGGTGCAGTATCTCTTGCATTCGTGCTACTGGTTCAAGGCCGAGGCACGCTTTGTCGAGTGCTGGCACGTCTTGGGTGCGGCCATTCGCGAGGGACAGAACCTTGGTGAGTAATGAGCGAACGGTATACGATATGAAGCGTAGCATGCTGACAGTAAGACCAGACCTGCATCGGGAAGCCACAGGAATCCCTGACTTTGAGCGCGAGATGCGTCGCCGCCTCTGGTGCCTCCTGGATGCCTGGGACTGGTAGGTGGTGAAATCCCGTGAAGCTTTAGGATCTTGGCGCTGACTTGCCAGGCTCGTCTCGGCTCTGCTCGCGCGCCCCATGCTCATCGATCGCTCCGACTGCGACGTTGGCCTCCCGAGCTTGACGCTCGAGGATTACCCGACCTCGCCGCTGCTTCACATGAAGCTGCAGTCCGAGCTCGTCGCCCGCATCTTCAAGCGCTTCGGCCCTCCGAAGTACCTGACGGATCCCAATGACATTTTCGAGTACTTAAGACATCCTCGAGAGCTGGATGCTTACATTTCCCACCGTTCGTTCCCCTTTGTCGACACGGACCGTCCATCAGGAGGTCAAGTACCCTTGGATTGTCCCTCCTTCC